CTTGTTTAGGCTAGCCGAGGGCTTGTCCTCCCAGCTATTTAGGATTGGGGTTTTCCCTTGTAAACATTACCCATTTTTTGGGTCGTTTTATGGAGTGGATTATATCGTTGGGAAAAAAAAAATATTGATGAATCTTGTTAAAAATAACTCAATAAAAACATATACACACAAAAAGAAAAAGAAAAAAACAAACAAAAAGGTCCTCAACTACATCTTTCAAGCCCATTTATTATCTTCGCAAATTTTAGTAGGTAACATCAAATTATTTGTTTATCTGTTTTACTAATTGATTTGTGAAATTCGGGCCATTCTCAGTCTAGTTGGTTTTTGAATGTGAGAATTGAGAATTTCTCTTTGAAATTTAGGCCCTCTCTTAGCACTAGATGAATATTTATTTGTCTATATATGTAGATATGTTGTGTACACTCGTGTATATGTGTATGCTTGTGTGTATTAAGACACATGTAAAGAAATTTTCTCCTAATGTGCAAAATTATAAGAACATTATGAAAAAATACATCTCTGGAAAATAGGAGTTATGTAAATATCCTTACCTGTGGTCACAATATTGCTATGCTTCCTTTTTCTTGGTTGTATAATTGTAGATTTTGTTATCTTCATTAGGTTGATGTATCTTGAATGTAGGGGTTATTCTATATGAATTTCTATTTTGTTGCTTTGGAAAGGTACAAAGATGGTTTCTAGAGTGAGTTGTGAGATATAGAAACTTGTTTAAATAAGTCTTTAATAAGTCTCTGGTCTTCTGAAAACATATCTGGCAATGTAGTAGAATGTTCATATCTTCGTTCAACAATATTGGTGATCGGTACCTCAACTCTCCCTTGAATGTTGAACCTAACACGGAGAGGTTAAGTATTCATTGGTTTTGATGAATTAGTGAATTAAAGAATGAGGAATAAATCATCATTACCTATTTCAAAACTCATTTATTTCCAGAGTATCACCATTTATGATAAGCTTGGTAACATTTAACGTGTTGGACACTCGACTTTGCCTTTGGAACTTTTTGGGGCAGCACAATTGAACCATAATGACAACACTATCCCCTTGATTTGTGTTGGTTAAGTGATTAATCAAGTAGTCAACATACTCACCCCACAACGTGCAAGACATTGTGTTTCCCCTATAAAAATAAATATAAATAAAAATTTGAAATTGAATGCAAACTTATATAAGAGAAATAGATTTTATTTCATTTACTCAAGATCCTCCAAAAGTAATTCCATCAAGATTGTTTGTTGTCTGCCATACTCAACCTCGCGGGGTGGGTATCTCACAGCAAGGCGTCCAATAACATCTGGTTTTAAGTTTTCATTAGTATATGTAATAATAAAAAAATTATAGGACTTTGTGTACAATATTATACCAATGAGTACGGTTTCATCAACCGAATCAGCTTCAGAAAGTCTTTGAAAAGGAATAAAGTCATGTATCATTGTAGGGAAGCTATCATCCTTGAACTCAGAGATACTGGATCTCGGGACAAAGAAATTCGGTACGGAGCAGTAGTTGTTTGTAGGTCATTTTATTTTCAGCAACAATGAATGTCCCAATTTTATAAAGCATATTTTCTTTCAAAACATGGGAGAAAGTCGAAACTTGTTCGTACTTCACCGTGGCGTGAATACGATCCCCCTACATTTGAAAAATGAATGTTGTCAAGATAAAGTTGATATATAAAGTACAACAACAAATGCAAATTGACTTACAGGTTTATCAGGGAAAACACACTCCAAAGTTAGCATCTTTGACTTGTCATTGTACATAGGGACATAGTACAACCGAACTAAGCGAACACGCAATCCCCAGTGCATGTTTCCAGGTTTGAGCTCACTTATCATGTTGAAAAGTCCCATTTTTTAGAGTCTTGTTTTTCAGTTTTGGTATTATTATTTTAATAAAACTGAAAGTCTTTGTAATTTATTTTTTCATTTTCTTCAGTATATATATAGTAACATATTGGTTCTTTGTCTTCCAAAAAAATTAAAGATACAATTAATGATTCTCTAAGATATGTTGATAATTTAAAACAGTGAATGTTGACTGTTAACCAAATATTAAGAATTTTATAGTTAGATACAACTTATTTTTATTCATGGAAATTTATGGTAGATTGAACTTTAACTAGTAATCCACCCGTGCGATGCACGGGTTAAGATTAAAATTTAGAATAATGCTACATGTACATAATAAATGTACATAAAGATGTACATAACACTCACATGGAGTGGGATCCACTTGATTTTTTAATTTTAGTAGGTCCCACTCAATGTGAGTGTGATGCACACCTCTATGTACAATATTATGTATCTATAGCATTACTCAATTTAATTATTACATATCTTGGACACCTAGTTTTATACATATTTTAATGAAATTATGAATGTTCCATACATTAAAAATCATTACATTAGTTGCAACTTTAAAAATAAAATGATACATTTTAGTATTTTTTAATAATATGATATAACAGTGGAAAAATAACCATTGTAATATTTAAATATTTTTTTTCTAATATATAATGTTGAAATATTAAAATAAATCATATTAAGACAAGAAAAAATAGATTTTCTTTTAAGTCCTATAATTATAATATATGTTGGGTCCATAATTAAGAGTTACTACCATAAGTAGGAACTTCGTACAATCTTACGGCCTTTAGCTTCAGAGCTCATGTCATTTCCGAAGGGTTGACATCCATGGAGGCATTTTTTGGAAAATCTATTTCAATATTCTGCAGCTTCAATGAGGTTTTCTTGTGTGTTGATGAAAAATCACATACTATTATTTATTATTGTTTTGTAATTGATTTAATTATATTTTTATTATTCTTTATGGGTAAACGAAAAGGCATACATTTAAAGGAAATGGTGCATGCAACTCTTTTTCATCTAATAGTTTTTCTTTTTAATTGTCTTTTGCACTTAACAATAGTTAGTTAAATAAAGTAAGACGTTTAACATTCTCTATAAAATGCATCATGATGGTCATTTTTTTTATATTTTTTATGTATTAAGAATTAAGAATTCTCTCGTCATTGCAAACCAACCGTAATCAAATATATTAAATAATTTTTTTTCTCAAAATGGATAGTAGTTTTTGGCGGGATTTTTCTACTTTTGGAATAGATTTTTTGCATTGTATTTCACTTTAATATATATATATATATAGATTATTAATATGTATACGCGTGGGTTTTTCTCTCGCATGTGATGGTTAATCTTCCATTCTTTTCGTCATTCTTTGTTACTTAAGGTTGATTGGTACTCCTAGAAAAACTAAAGGCCTATTATTAATGGCTGATTGCAATGATTATTTATATATACTTAATGTCATCTTTTATTTTTTCCTTGTGACCTAGAAAAACTAAAGTCCTTATAAAAGGGCAATAAGTATATCTAATATTTGAAAATATATAATAAAGTTTCTACATATATATTTATATATATTTATATATAATTCATAATATATTTTTAATGATAGATTATCATAGATATCCATATTGCTTTTTTCATATATTTTTTTTTTCTTTTTTTTTTT